TAATCTTAAGAAAAGCTGCTCCACCAATGCGAATAACTCCAATTAAAATGGATTAGAGCAAATTAAAATGCCTATGTTTAATAAATGCAGCACTCTTGGGTGGACCGAGACAGCATGGCAGGGGAGATGAACCCACACAAACCATGGAGAGCACGTGTTCCTTTTCCCCCCTGTGAGCCTGAATAGCCTGTGGGAATGGTCCTGATCCACCCTGGGGAGGGGTCAGCGCTTGGCAGGTTGGGAGTTGAAGTCCGGACCAATGCAACTCCCAGGCCAGGGGCTAGGGTGATGCTTCCAATCATTCATTCAGTATCTCAGTTGAGTTCCTATTGCTGTGAAGAGATACCATGACCACAGCAACTCCTATAAACATTTAATTGGCATGATTTACATTTACAGAGGTTTAGTCCATTGTCATCATGGTGGAACATGGTGGCATGCAGGCAGACATGGAGCTGATTGTCCTACATCTTGATTTGCAGACTATAGGAAGTGATCTGTGTGTCACACTGAGTGAAGCTGGAGCAAAAAGGACCTCAAAACCCACCTCCACAGTGACACACTTCCTTCAAGGCCAAACCAACTCCAACAAAGTCACACCTCCTAATAATGCCACTCCCTATGAGCTTATGGGGGGCCAATTACATTCAAACTACCACTCCAAGCATCTGGGCACACATGTGAGCCATTTTTCTTGATTAGCTCATCTGAGGTGGGAAGACCCACGCCTTCTGGTGACAGCTACATAAAAAACCATGAAAGAAGGAAGTTTGTTCTTTGCCTGCTTGCCTTCACTTTCATTGGCAAGTTCATCTACCCTGTTCCTGAGGCCTTCCTTTGCTAGTGTTAGAACCTATTTCTCAGGGATTCCAACCCGGAGTGCAAACTGGCAGCTCTCTAGGACTTTCCTGGGACTCCCACACTTGATTGGGACAGCGGAGACATCCAGTCTGGTAGACTGAACAGCTCCTGGATCCCTCATCTTTCTGTCGGGAGTCCGCCATTGAGGACCTACTCAGACCACAGCTTATTAGCTGCTCTCATGAGTTCTGTCCGTTCTCTTCATGAGACAGCCCGAGCATGGTTAAACACGGCTCTGGCAGGCTTTCCCCTTTCCCGGATTTCCTCGGCCTTGCTAAAACCACATTACATTCCTGAAGCTAGCTCCAAGATCCATTGCTTTCTTTGGCCAATTCTTCCTCCGGGGGCTGACTACCAAGGTCCAGTTATTAAAGTATGGAAGTTCAACAATCAAAAGCCCTGTGGCTCACCTAACTAACATGTCCAATTAAATTAAACACCTCATCCTAACACGGGGTTTCCCCCTTTACCTTTATAAACCGCTATTTTCCTATGGGTCACATCTGTCTCCTCTAACCAGAGTCAGTCCTTTGTCCTCTGGGACAAACACTCCTTACCCCTCTCCCTCCTTCCTTCCTTCCTTCCTTCCTTCCTTCCTTCCTTCCTTCCCCTTCTCCCTCATTCTCTATCTCCTGTCTCTCTCTCTTTCTCTTATTCCTTTGTGCCAAGCACTTGGTTTTCGGGTGTGCTAAGCTGGTTCAGGTCCCTTATAGGTTCTTTCGAGAACTCTCACTAATACACTAGGTTTGAGAGTTCAAAGACTCAACCATTTTGAGACTTGATTTCTCGGCTCTCAGCTCCCAGCTTTTGCCACTATGTCCCTGCCGGTATGGACCCTAACCTGGAACTGTAGGGCCAAACAAACGTTCCTCCTTAATTGTCTTCACCCGTATGTTTGTTACCACGGCAACAGAAAAGTTAATACACTCGGGTTCCAGAAGAGTTCTCTTCGAACCACACTACTGTCATCTGAGAACTGGGTCTCCAGAATCTCACACCCACACAAGCTACTGGGTGGCTGCTAAAAAGAATCCTATCACTTTTGCAGAATTAAAAAAAAAAAAAAAAGTTTAAACTTTAGTAGCATTTCATTACAGCTTAAAAGTGTACCTGTGTGAGCTCGAACGGGGTTGTGCTGACACTGTTTTCAAAGCAGTGAGCAAACACATTAAAACAGAAAACGTGTTGGTTTTGCTCTGTGCTGCCACTGAATTTCCCTGGGAACAGTTTCCTTCGCCTGATGCACAATGCACTAGAAAATGATTAAATGGCTCTAACGCGGAGTGTTAGCGATTAACCTTAAAGAACATTCGAGCTATATTTAATTATAATCCTCAAATCCGTTCTCCCCATTTTTGGAACTGCATTATTCATATCATTGTCATAATGACATCTATTTTTGATAGCACTCAGGACTGAGTTCCATCGCCATACTGTTAGAAGAGAGGCTCTTGGAGCATGCGCTTTAGCAGGGTAGAGAAAAGATCTGAGCGCAGCAAGCGGCCGCTCATCCCAGGAGTCCAGTGGGAGAGAAGCAGGCAGAGAAGTTTCTGGGCGGGTCCTCAGCCAGAGCCATTTGAATGCTGATGCTCTGGGGCTCCCTCTCCCACTCTATGAATTTACAGGCCGTCAGCAGATACCAGCTCTCCAGCTTCTGGTGCGAACAAGGTCCGTTTGTCGTCCATGTCATGCAGTATACCAACGTCTGAAGTGGGAAGTTTGCAAAATAGAAAAGTTCTATTTTATTTGAGAGGCACAAATCTAAAGGATCCAAGAACCCAGACTCCCAAATCTAGCTCCCTGAGGCTAGGATTTAATAGTATTTATGGGATTAAAAACAAGATGATCTCAGGTGTAACAAAAACAATGGTTATTGGGGTAAACTGAAGTGATCAACTGTCTGCTTGTATGGTCAAACTCCACAGGTCTTCAGAGGGCTTGTGCAGAGAAAACAGGCGTCAGCTGGATCTGAGAATGAAATGAACAACCAGAAGACTCCTGCTCAAAGGCAAATAAAAGAGAAAGAAAAGAAGAAAAAAGGAAGGGAGGGAGGGAGGGAAGGAGGGAGGGAGAGAAGGAGGGAGGAGATAGAAAGAAAGAAAAAAGAAAGGAAGGAAGAAAGGAACGAAGGAAGGAAGGAAGGAAGGAAGGAAGAGGAAACCTCAACTGGTTTCAGATAAAGACCTCCAGGTTCCTGAAAAACAAGCCCTCGTTTCCATAGTGACCACACATGGAAGGTATTCTGAGTAGCAGAACTAATGAGGCATGCAGATTAGCGGTAGCACCTTTGAAATCCATAATGAAAGCAGGTGGACTGAACTGGAGGCTTTGTTCTGGCTTCCCTGGGGTTCACCACTCCGCCTATTTGCTGTATTCCTGTTTGGAGGAGGACTTGCCTAGGTGTCTCAACCTCCTCATTCAGTGCCAGGTGCACACTAGGTGCCCAACGTGGTCTTACTGAATTTTAATTTCTCCGATGTCTATAACACAAATAATAAAAACCCAGAGACAGACATTGGGGTTTAGCCTGAAGATCAGAAAAACAAAGAAGCCAACCACTAGAGAGACCTTTTACCTTTGCCAAATCTTCAGATCAAAAACGGGGAGATCCTGTCTCCACGAATCCCCAGGAAGAATTCCTGTCTCTTCCCTTTTATATTCCTCTCTCCACCCAGTTACATCACTCCTGTCTCCACCTTCCTAGTGCTAGGATTAAAGGCAGGTGATCCCAAGTGCTGGGATCATCTTTGTGTGAGCTCTGTTTCTCTTTTAAATAGATTCAATCTTGTGTAGCCCAGGGTGGACTTGAACTCACAGAGATCTGTCTGCCTCTGTCCCCCAAGTCCTGGGATTAAAAGTGTGTGCCACTACTCCTTGGCCTGTAGGGCTGACGAGCATAGCTGCTTTGCCCTCTGATCTTCAGGAAAGCTTTAATTATTAAAGCACAAATAATATACCATAATAGATGTTATGAAAATGAGAGGGGAAAGGGGCTTGTAGGAACAGTAGATGGATGTCTATTATGTATCAATACTCAAATAGAAAACAGATGAACAAATGAGTAAATAAACCAAACTGAGGCATGAAAAGGAATTTACTGCGCACCACAATAATGAAGCTTGAATTCCAGAACCCTTCCCTAGTGCCTTTGCATTCATAACCTTAAAATATTTTCTTAAAGACTCCCAGCGTTTAAAGCTTTAGAGTCACAAAATTTACATCCCCTCTGGGCCCCAAGCTGCGCGTAAGCATGGTGCCACTTTCAAACACAGAAGAACAAAGACACAGTCCACACCCCAAGTCAGGGAGGGTATGGCATAACACGCAAAACCAATTTTCTCTGAGCAGCTATTCCATTTGCTGATCTCAATTTTCTGTTTTCCTAAAAGAATCCATTTGTGCCGTAACAAAACTTGCATTTTTCCCTGTGTAAAGAAATATCCATTTGAGGTTACTTCTCTTTTCCCAGCTTTTATTTCCATTTGATCGCTGTCTTATTTCTTCCTGTCTGCCACTAATTGGCTTCCCCCTCACCTGTAATTCTAATCCTTAATCTGGAGGAGATAACATGTGAGCAGAGCTGGTTCCTCCTGAGTGACACTCTGGTCCCTGAAGGATGTACATTCAGCGTCTCTTCGGGTCGATAAAGCAAGCTATCTTTGTGTCTTGGTTCCATCTCTAAGGACCATTCATGTCTTCTGCCTCCTCACCCACATGCCTGTACCCAGCTACCTACCTTAGCCATGCTGGCTCCTGCCCCTCACCCACATGGCCGTACCCAACTACCTTAGCCAGGCTGGTTCTTGCCCTCCTCACCCACATGACTGTACCCAACTACCTACCTTAGCTATGCTGGTTCCTGCCCCTCACTACCACCTACAAGAAGATGAACTCTTAAAAATCTCAGATTACAAAGACCATTGATCTTCGGGACTTTGTCCTCAAACTCCAAGTCTGGATGTGGACAATACCACGGTAGGCCTGGTGCCTCCTGAATCCCAGTCCTCGGCATGCTCTGAGATGCTTGGAACTGCCTTCGTCATCGAGAAGGGAAGACAAGTGATGGAGGAGTTCTTTCTCATTTACCATGGCCTTGCTCTGGAGCCTGGACCTCGGCAACATCTTTCTTGAGAGCGCTCACCTGTCCCATCGCACCCTGGGTGGAAGACTGGCAAGCAGCATGCTAAGGAAGCAGTGGCATTTGGATTCATTTCTCTTACTTTGCTGCGTCCTTTGTGACCTGCCATGAAGACCAAGCACAGCAGGAAAGGCCACACTGTGAAAGGGAGACTGTCATCTGGGCAGGGGTGATCATATGAAGAAGAGCACAGGCAAGCATAAAGAGGATGACTTGGGAAACAGCATTCCTTCATGGGCATTTCATCAATTCATGCATTCACTGAGTCACGTAATAAATTTATATCATGCTCTTTTGTGTGCCAGTAAGTTGCTTCATATGCTGTGGACACATCCAGAGGTGAACAAAATAAGCTTGCTTTTATGAATGCACAATGTGCTGAAGTCATTTCCTAGTCATTGTTAGTATCGTTTTAATTTTCCTAATAATACACAGACACAGAATCATGCACCCAAGGTAGAAAATAGCAGTCTTAGAGATTTATAATAATGTTCAGTTACAATTAAGTGTGTGCCTCCAGCTACAGAGAAGCTAGGAAATAAGGAGGACCCTAAGAGGGAGGCACAAATTGCCCTGGAAAGGGGAATTAGATGAGATCTCATGGGTAAACTGGGGGCAAGGACAGAGAGCAGTAAAGGGGAGGGAAGGGGGATGAGAACATGAGGGAACCAGGAGGTCAAGTTGGGGGACAAACGGAGCGGGAGAGCAATGAAAGAGATATCTTGATAGAGAGAGACATTATGGTGTTAGAGAAAAACCTGGTGCTAGGGAAATTCCCAGGAATCCACAAGGATGACCCCAGCTAAGACTCCTGGCAATAGTGGAGAAGGTGCTTGAACTGGTCTTCCCCTGTAATCAGATTGTTGAATACTCTATCATCACAGTGCCTTCACCCAGTAATTGATGGAACCAGATGCAGAGATCCACAGTCAAGCACCAGGCCGAGCTCTGGGAATCCAGTTGAAGACAGGAGATGAGCAAGAGAGGTCAAGATCATGATGGAAGAATTTACAGAGACAGCTGAACCAAGCTCGTGGGAACTCATAAACTCTAGACTCACAGCTATGGAGACTCGAAGGGAAGCTAGGTCTTCTGCATGTGGAATACAGTGGTGTATCCTGGTCTATCTGAAGGGCACCTGAAAGAAGGACCAGGATCTATCCCTAGTGCATAAGCTAGCTTGTCAGAGCCCATTCCCTATGGTGGGATGTCATGCTCAGCCTTAATGCATGAGGGAGAGGCTTGGTCCTGCCTCAACTTAAGTTGAGGCCAACATTAATGGGCCAGGCTTTGTTGATTCCCCTTACTCTTTGGGGGAGTGGATGGGGAATGGACTGGGGGAAGACGGGAGGGGGCAAGAGGAAGAACTGTGGTTGGAATGTAAAAGAAATGTAAAAATCTAAAAAAATCATTTTTAAAAAAGTGTGTGTCTCAAGAATACTATCATCTTGCAATCTTACTTCCAAACTTGAAGCAATGGTAGTAGCCTCTCGTGGAAGATGAGCTCAGCACCACTTTAGACCCTGAAGCTTCTTCAAGAAAAGAGTGAGAAAGAGCAAACACTTGCATCAGGGACGGGCTCATAGCTGGTACTCTATGTATCAGCCATCATTACATCATCATCATCATCATCTTCTTCTTCATCATCATCATCTTCATCATGACGAGGCAAAAGCAAGGGGAACAACAGCGCATACATAGGCATGGAAAGTTCGACATACTCGAGCTCCAAGTGGCTTCTAAGAGACCAAGGCCTGAGACACTGATTTAGACACTGGAGAGAGAGGGCCTCCTGAGTCCTGCAGGTTTGAATATGAACCGTCCCTCCTAGCATCGTGCGCCTGGACTGTTAGACCCTGTTGGTAAGAGGTTTGGGGAGATTGTGCAGCCTTTTGGGAGTGGGCCTAGCTGGCAGACAGAGGACCAGGGGTGAGGGCCAGCTAAGCTTCTGGTTCAGGCTCTCTACTTCCTGTTGTCTCACAATGCGAAGAGCCCATTGGTGAGAAAAAAACCAACACACATGCCTTACTGACCAGTCATCACTGCCTTCCGCCTAGCCTGAAGTCAAAGCCTCAGTAACATCCTCCTGTTACTGCTGTTAAAATACTATGTGCGCCGGGCAATGGTGGCGCACGCCTTTAATCCCAGCACTCGGGAGGCAGAGGCAGGCGGATCTCTGTGAGTTCGAGACCAGCCTGGTCTAGAGAGCTAGTTCCAGGACAGGCTCCAAAGCTACAGAGAAACCCTGTCTCGAAAAACCAAAAAAATAAATAAATAAAATAAAATACTATGTGACCTCTCTGCTTTCCCTTCCTGTCCTCTACCGTGTCCCAGTTGGGGAGGTCACATGGAATATGTCTGCTACCGTAACCATTTCTTACTCTAACACGTTCATGGCTAATCACTGCCCACAGAATTCGCCCAGTTTTCTCCACGTGGCCTGAAAGCATCATGGTGATCCTGAGCCTACCCACCTGGGATCCCCCCTTACTCCCCTCCATAGGTTCCTGTATCCAGGCCTCTGGAATGCATGCTTGCAGATTCTCCCAGGCTTTCCAAGCTCTCTTTGAGCTCCCCAGCTCAAGGCCTTGTCAGACAGGCTTCTTCAAGAAAGCCATTTTTAGACTCACAGTAAGTTGACTTTGCTGCCTCAGGCCTCCAAATTGCATTTCCTTCGAGCTGCTTCTGCCACTCCAATGCACAGGCCTGCTCTTGCTCACTGGGTCATAACTCTGAAGTAGGGACTGTTTTCCTAGCTTTCTACTGCTATAGTAGCCTCCACACACAGATCGCTGTGGTGGGGATGCTCATACAATGATGAATTGCACTAAGATGTGGTAAAATCGAGCTACTTAAAAGACACTCAAAGCCGGGCGGTGGTGGCGCACGCCTTTAATCCCAGCACTCGGGAGGCAGAGGCAGGCGGATCTCTGTGAGTTCGAGACCAGCCTGGTCTACAAGAGCTAGTTCCAGGACAGGCTCCAAAACCACAGAGAAACCCTGTCTCGAAAAACAAAAAACAAACAAACAAACAAAAACAAAAAACAAAAAAAAAGACACTCAAAAAAACAACAACAAAAAAAAATAAACTAGAACGCCTCCCCCACTTCAGCTCTGCTACAGAAGAGGCATCTCCTCCCTGTGCTTAGAGATACTGACGGTACCTCTGTACTGATGATAGACACCTTCCTTTGGTGAGGATCCTTGGAGGATGGGTACCCCTTGCAATATACTCCAAGAAAAACAACAGGAGAGAGTGGGGACCAAGCCCTAAGGTGGGTTTTCCCCATCCCTGCCTTCTCAGGTTTGGTTTGGTTTGCTTTCTGGCAGGAGGAGCCTGGAGGGCCTCTGAGGAGAATGAGGAAGGGCTAAGTGACCAGGGCAGCTCCTGTCCATCTGGCCTGTCACTGAACCCAGGAAACGGGCAGCTGAAATGTTTCAATGTAATCAAACAGTCCCCGGCACAGAGGCGTAGGCTGCAGATAGGAGGAGTGAGGACGGATAACTAAGGCCAAGGCTGGGAGCAAATCGAATCATTCCCTTCCTGTCCTAGCTCTCCCTCCTCCCTCCCCCGTCCTGTTACTTTCTTCTTTCTTTTCAGAAAACCACCCCACCAGGTGGTTAAAAGCCCTGGCCCCATGCGTGCAGGCTCACAGGTTCATGGGTTTGTCGCTTTCCCAAGCCTAATTACTGTTATCGACTTTCTAGGTTTTCGTAAATTCAACACACTGAGTAACGAGGTTAATAAAACCGGTGAACTCCTTTGCCTTGTACATGGACTATTTCTATGAAAATGCCAAACGTGTGATTAGCTCAGATTTAGTCATCTGTCCTACCATCTATAAGTGTTTCTAATGAACTGATTGGCTTTCTAGTGGGGGCTCTGCTCAGCCCACGTTAGGCTTTGAGTCCTCTGGGTTTGATTAGCGGCTGTGTATTTATAGCTTCGACCATTTCTGCAGTGAATTATTTCCCCGGTGAGCATGTATCTGATGTTCAATAAATCAGACGGGCTAGAAGTCATGACAGAAGGAAGAATTAGCCCTGGCCAGCTCTGAGCCTGGAAATCCCTGCTCCTCTGGGCAGCAACTTTACCACATCCAAAACTGTTTCTTGTCCATTCTTAGGTAGCAGGGTCCCTAAAGCCCTAAATGATGCAACATACCTGGGTGCAGGATTTTATTCTTTTAAAGTAAAGGACTAGTCTTTAAAAGTTTACATATTCACTCAGCAAACATCATCTGATACAAACTGCACACAGACAATAGAGACCCAAAACAAGCACTCATGGGACAGGCAGAGGTCTGGACTTTAAGTCTTGCTAGTTAGCTCAGGCTAGCCTTGAACACCTGATCCTATCTGAGTCTCCTAAGTATTGGATTAGTCTAAGGCTATACCACTATAGTCAGACAAATAACCTTTCGCCCTGTTTTCAGTTACACACAATAATTAGTAATTGGTAAGTTTATTTTTGGACAGACAAGATAAATAGGTTCACTAAGATCACATTTTATCTAAATAAAATCTAGTTCTATTTAGAATACAAGTAAACCATGGGTATAAAGGATACTTTTTGCTTTTAGGGGGTGGAAACTGTCCTGAAAAGTAGCAAATCCTTCCAGCTGAATTTCTGTTGTGTTCAAAAGCTTGCCCCAAACGCAAGAAAAACACTGTGGGCAAAAAATGGGGATGGAGCAATACCGAGTGGGGATAAGTCAGGGTCATTTCAAGGGGAAAATCTGTGATCACTGAGAGCAGTGCGTTTAGTGAAAGCGCCACATATGGAAACCGTAAGAAACCAAAGGTGGTTTCAGATTGATGGCGTAGGTCAGGCTCCAATGAACCAAGTCGACACAGGCTGGCTGCTTAGGCTGCAGCTGCAGAACTGGGGAGGAAAAGGTTCTCTGCATACTCTTTCCACAGCCACAACCTACAAAGGGCTTCCGAGCACAGGAGAGTAATGGGGAAAGGCCAGGAAGCCTAGATGGACACTCGGAGGGGACCACGTCGTGAAGTTTCACTGGAGACTTGGTGACCCTGGACACTGGACCCACCACACACAGGGAAGACACTCCCAGCATCAGCTCAGGGGGCGGTTAAGCTCCCCATTCCCTGTCCTAAGCACCTTAAGTGCTTGTTAATGCCCTTCAATACTCATTTGAGTAAGCACTGCTTTCACCCATTTTAGAGACCAGAAAATTAAGGCACCCGCAAGTTCAGCTGTCCGTCTCCCAACACGCCAAACCTAGTCTCCTCCCAGCCTCATCTACAAGATGAGAAGCTGCAGCCGAAGTGTGGCTGGCTTCTACTCTTCAAGTGGGTCATTCCAGTGTCCATTTCCCAAATGTCTTCCTTGGCCAAACAATCTCAAGCACCTTTTCCCCCCAGACACAAGCCAGCCCCTTTGTTCTATTATTTCACAAATGTACTGTCCTTTGAAATCTTTTGTATGCTTATGCCTATTTTCAGACTCAGAGCAAAGAGACATGAGCTCACAAACGGCAGCAGGTTTCGCGTTTGTTTAAGTCACCGTGATGCCCCAGTGGCTGGCACAACACCTGCCATATAGGAGGGAATTCAAACTGTCTATTAGTTGGAAACTTCACACACTCGTTATGGTTTGGATCTGAAATTTTCCCCAGGTATTCATATTTTGAATGCTTCAGACCCCAGCTGGCAGGGCTGTGTAGAAGACTAAGGAACCTTTGGGGATGGGGTCAAGCTAGAAAAGCGGTTCGCCTGGGAAGGACTTTGAAGGCTGTGGTCGAGCCCCATTGTGCTTCCTGTGTCCTGTTCAGCCGCGATATGAGCAGCCCTTGCTTCACATTCCCACAGCCATGAGCAGAACACTGCGCCTTTCCTTCCCCTCTGGGATGGACTTAAGACCCCCGAAACCGTGAGCTAAAATAAAACTTTCTTCTCCGGAGCCATCTCTGTTAGGTGCTGCAGTCATGGCGACGCAAAAGCCAGGTGTGTTCCCTGCATGTCCCCTCTACTAGAAGGGAGGCACTCTTAGACTGGGGATTTGGAAGCTTACATCCCAGAGTGAGGAATGGGTTGTGCTAAGAAGGATGGGATGCTGAAGGCAGAAGACTGTCTAGGGTCCAGAGGGAAGAACATGGCTTCACCACGGGCACTGGGAATTTGCAGGAAGTAGTGTGTGGTGAATGAGTTTGTACTGATTGCATAAACATCTCTGCGGAACAGGCACTTATGTATAACAAAGGGTTGAGAATCGACCCTGGTCTTAAAGTATACATAGTACTAATAAGGGGAGCGAAGAGTTGGGAATGGTTTCTATTTCACTTGCAGAAGGCATGTGTAAGGCTCTACATATAACACTGCACAGGCTCAGTACCTGCAAGTTGTAAGTCTGCGTCTGGGCCGCTTGGCTGGACTGTCTTCCACATCATGTCTGTGTCTTTAATGGCTCCTGAGAACAAAGAACGAAAAAAGCAACAGGTGCATAGAAAGGGAAATCTATCATATCTTATTTTAAGTCATTTGCAAACAAACAAACAAACAAATGACGAAACTAAAGCAGCAAAGGTCAGACCCAGTCAAACTTTCTTGAAACTAACATCTGCCCTGGCACTGTGGACATCACAGCCTGTATCTTTTAGTAGACGTTAAGAAGGTCAGGTAGTTAAATATGCTGTGTTCTCAGCAACTGCCCTCATCTCTGACTCCCCATGGAAATGCGGTCAGTGCTTCGGGAGTAGATGTTTCTGTGCATCTCTTACTTTCTTGAGAAAGATTCAACGGTGTGGCCACCTTCCTAAGGGGCGGGGACTAGAGCAGCATTACAGGGGGACAGATCACGGGAGCTCTTGCTGCATTAGCGCTCTCCGGGGGACACTAGCACGTCTCCCTGGCCTCCTGCCATCTAGATGCTTCCCCTAGAGTCTCAAGGAACACCTTAGCTAGAGTGCCCATCCGACTGGGAGCTGGGAGGACTGTCCCAGGCTGCTGGTACCCTGGAGAGGGACCAACATCTGTACCTGCAGCTGTGTACTGCACTGGAGCCGCACACGGCATGGACAGATGGCCATTGCTCTGCCCTGAGCTGGGCGGCTGCTTGTCTGCACTGTCAGCTGAAGAAGCAAGCTTGGCGATCTCCAACATAATTCTCTGCCTCTTGGCATGCGGTCCCCTGGTGTGTCAGAATGACTCACTTGGCATTTGGAGGCGGTAAGAGGTACAGTTTAATGAAAAGGCACTGGACGAGAACTTCCTAGTCTCATCTCAGCAACACGCACCGCCCCCCTCCCCTGCACCCCCAGCGTCATCCCAACGCAGGTGGAATTTTACCTCCCCGGCAACAGAGAGCAGTAAGTCTGAGCTGCCCAGTTGCTGACTCCAGAAGTTCGGGTTGGGTTGAAGTGAACAGAAGGCAACGTGAGTGACGGAATAAAAGCATAAAACCAAAGCACCCACCCTCATAGACCCCAAAGTCAATGGAGGAGAGAGAGAGAAGATACCAAAACGATTACACCATGTTATAAAATCTTGCATCAGTAAAGCGCTAAGGAACTTAGGAACAAATGATAGATCTCAGTCTATCCGAGTTTATCTGAATAAATCAAAAATATTAAATATTTAAGTCTTCCAAGCACTGGACAAAACCTGGGGAAATTCTTCTTGTACAATCTAAGAATTCCAAAGCCATTTTAAGGCCCAAGTACAATAGAAGACCCAGAAGCCACAAATGAAACAGCTGCATAAAGATATTCCCTATGGTAAGATCTGCAAGAGAGTCAAAACAACAGATGCCAACCTGGGGGAAAAATATTTGCAAGTCATACCACAAAAAGGCTAACTCCCCTAATATAGAAAGAGTACACAGAAATCAATAAGAACACGAGTCATCCATCAAAATGTAAAGGACAAAGCACACAGCTCACTGAAATGAAAACCCGCTCAGCCTCACTTATATGACAGAGCAGCTGGGCCGGGGAGATGGCTGTGGCAGACAGAGACCTGAGTTCAGATCACAAGAACATGTAAGAAGTCTGGAGTGGTGGTGTGGTTGTGTGTGGTGTGTGCCTATAACCCCCACTGGGCAGGGATCTGGTAGACAAGTGGATTTGAAGCTCCAGGCAGTCTAGCGAAATGGATGGTTTTCAGGGTCCATGAGAGACTCTGGCTCAAAATCACAGAGTGGAAAGTGATCAAAGAAAGACACATGATGCCTCAGGCCTCCCATCCTGCACCTGCACCTGCAAGCATACACACATGTGCACACACACACACACACACACACACACACACATACAACATTACTAAAATCATAGAGATATCATTTATTGTCTTTAACACTGGAACAAATAAAGTTTAAAAATTCTCACACTGGCTGGTGGTAGTGGCGCACGCCTTTAATCCTAGCACTCGGAAGGCAGAGGCAGGCCGATTTCTGTGAGTTCCAGGCCAGCCCAGCAGCCTGGTCTACAAGAGCTAGTTCCAGGATAGGCTCCTAAGCTACAGAGAAACCTGTCTCAATAAACAAACAAACAAACAAAACCTTCACATTGTGGGAAGCAGTGCAGTCATTTGTTACTTGTGGAGTACACACTGGCACAAAATGTAGAGGAGGCAAATTTTTAACATCTTTCAATATTACAAATGTGCTTCTCTTGACTCAGCAATTTCTGAAGCTTTTTTCCCCCGGGGAGAGCATCTAACATAGGAGAAATGACATTGGCTGCAGTGCTGTTTGCATTATCTGATTAGTTTCTAACAGTAGCATTGCTGTTTTGATGAAAAGAGTCGTCATCAAGACGGCCATGATGCCGGAAGGCTTGCACACACCAAGGAACTCTCTGCATTGGTTAAAAGCAACAAGGATGCCTGCCCTTGGCGGTGAGGATGAGGGCGTGTGGAGAAGAGCCCTCGGCAAGGCGTAGGACAGTTTGGTGAGCACACCACCATTTCTTCGTATATAAAAGAAAGGAGGGAACTGCCAGCTATTTTCAGGAGTGAGCTCAGAGTGTTTGTTTCTGCCAGCTGCTGTTGCACAAGCCGTCCGTTCGTGGAGGTTGTCCTCTCGCTGTGCCGGACAGAAAAAAAATATTCTTCTAGGGCAATTCCAAATATTTCTTCCTTTATAACCCTTTGCTGATACTCTCTCAATGGACATATCTGTAAAATTATTAGAATGCTAAGGTTTGGGAAAAGATAAATCCTAATAGCTAATAAATGAAGAAATTTCTTCTTTATAAGGTAGGTTGACCTTGGAAGGAATGATTAATGTGGTCAAAGTTGACAGAAATGGACCAAAACCCCAAAACCTGTCACAGAGAGTTGAAACATTTACAGCACATGTTGATGACAGAGCTTATTTATCCGGATGTACTGAGAGCTCCACAATCAAACCAATCGCTCAGACGAGCTGGCAGCACAAGCCAGTGACGTCAGCATTTGAAAGGCGGCTGCTGCAGCAGAGCCTGGAGGAGTTCAAGGTCACCTTCTGCTGTGTGTGAGTTCTAAGTCAGCCTAGGTTGTCTCAAACTCTATCTCAGAAAAAAAAAACAAAACAAGCCAGCAAGATGGCTCAGCTGCCTGATGCTGCCAACCAAGCCGCATGACCTGAGTTCAATACCCGGGACCAGTGCATACACTCAGCCCCTCCTGCCACTCATAAGCATGCACACATGTAAAGTTTAAGAAATTAAAAAACATAAGACAAGATTAACAACACAAAAAGCTAACAATCCTAAAGGGGGAAAAATTTTAAGAACATACGTGCTTAGTTGATAAAAGGGGGAGAAATGTCATTTAAAAGATTCTTTGAGGAGGGGGGATTCTCAATTTTAGCTGGGAGGTGGTAGCACACACTCCTTTAATCCCAGCACTGGAGAGAGGCAGGCATGTCTCTGTGAATTCGAAGTCAGCCTGGTACAGAGTAAGCTCCAAGACAGCCAGGGCTATGGAGAGAAACCCTGTCTCAAAAACACAAAACCAATCCTCCCCTTACATACACACACACACACACACACACACGCACGCACGCACGCACACACACAAATCTGAATTTTTAATTCTGTTATGAGGAAAACTGACTGAAACTCATACTGTAATCCGGGGGAAGAGGTGATGATGTAGCCGGAGTAGCAGCCGCTGGCTTCTCCTGGGAGAGTCCCTTGGCAGGAGGCAGCCCAGTGGTAGCACGCTCAGCCCATCTACTCTACTTCAGTCATCTGTGCCCAGAGAGTTGAACATACGTAAAAACATGGCCATCTCCACATCATTGAGAAGAAAGCAAAGATCAGCTGGAGGGTTGCCAGGAGGGGGAAGCATGAACAAACAGTGAAGAGTGAATCCAGACGTGGGTTCCTGTGCACAAGTTTGAAAACGAGGTCAGTCTTCACACATCTGAGGAGAGCGTCAAAGAGAAAATGCTATTTGAAGAACCGTATGTAAAAGAGTATTGAGTTGGGGGATGAGCTGTGTGTATGTGTGTGTAAAACTGCATGTATGTTTACATGCATACATACAGACACACGTAGTTGCTGACCAACAGTGGGGGAACTTGCATTTGGTGCTCTATTCAGTTGTAGGTTTTTTAAAAATATTTATTTATTATGTATACAGTATTCTGTCTGTGTGTATCCCTGAAGGCCAGAAGAGGACACCAGACCCCATTACAGATGGTTGTGAGCCACCATGTGGTTGCTGGGAATTGAACTCAGGACCTTTGGAAGAGCAGGCAATGCTCTTAAACTCTGAGCCATCTCTCCAGCCCCAGTTGTAGGGTTTTATATTGTTCATTCGTTCGCTGTTGAAGAGTGACAGGAGGGACCAGCTCATGCAGCTGGAAGGGGAGTTTTTACCACAGTTGCCTCCTAAGGTGATACACCCCATTCCCTAGTATTTTACCAAAAGAAGAAGCAATTTCCCAAGCAAGCATGATCAAATAGAGGTGAGTATAAGATACTTCCCTGAAGCTGAGGTTACAAGCACTGAATTTACAGAAATGCCCTGCAGAAATAATTAAATGGTCCCGAGAGAACAATACCCCTCCAAAGACACAGCACATAGTACTATTAAAATTGTCTCTAATAACTTATACATTATAAATCATCTCCCTAATTTCTTATTTCTTTCCAAACTTTGCTGTTTTCTATAGTTAGCTTAAAAATTGGAAAGGCAAGGCAAATTAGTGCTGAAGAAACACAGGCTACGGCCTTACTGCTAAAAGTGGCCTTAAGGTACATGCTAGAATCATTTACATTTAAAATGATGCTTTTATTTATTCTTTGAGAATTACATCAAAACATATTGGATAATATTCTTTTTCTTCTTCTTCCAAGTTTTCCCAGCTCCTCCCCATTTTCCTCTTCACCCAGCTTTGTATCCCTTCTTTCTTAAAAACACAAACAACAAAAACCCACATTGCCACATGCTTAGGAAGTTGGTGGCAATTAACTCAAGGCC